CCCCTGGGGAAGGCTGTGGTCTGGCTGACTGACCTTCCCTGCGCCAGCACCTGGCTGCACGGCCTGGTCAGTGGGGAAAGCTGATCCAGAGGGAGGAATGTGGTCTTTAGCCCGGACAGACCGGGAATAGCTGGGAAGCAGCCTAGGGTGGCTGCAGGTGCCTCTGCCCACCCCTGCTCTCATCCACCCTTGCTTGGCCCACAGCAGGGCCTGGCCGGGTCCGGGAGGGGTCCTGGGTTGCCCTTCCAGGAGCTTCACACTCAGGTGCAAGGACCCCGATGGTGGTTGGGGAGGACCCAGCATGTCACCCAGTTCCTGTCTACCCCCAAGGCCTGGAGCAGGTGACGAGAGCGGGGTGATATGGTCAGCAGGAGACACTGGAGGAGTCCCGGGGAGGGCCGAACAGGGGTCTGTAATTTTCATGGGTAGAGCAGGTGCCTGGCATCAGAGGTTAGAAGTCTGGCAGTGTGTGGGTTGGGATGCTGGACCTGGAGGGGCTTTTCCCTGGGGCCTGGGCTTGGGTGCTCTGTGTCCAGCACAGTAGAACCTATGTTCTCAGCCCCTCTGCCTTAACCACCGGTTTTCTGAGTCACACAAGGTCCCGCCCCATGGACTCTGCACATCAGGTGGCCTAGGACATACAGGTGCTGCTGGTAGCCAACATCAGCAGACCCTGCCACACCCAGCTGGGCCCGCATATGGACGTGTCCAGGCCACCCTGGGGGTGGCCTTGCAGCCGCAGGCCTGGGGAGAGCTCACCACTGCCTCTGGCTGGGAAGCAGAAGCTGAAATGAGGGGGAGCAGGCTCGGGGCGCCGCCAGCTCGAGCTCTGCTGGGAACATGCAGGCAGGCGTGGGCGCTGCCAGGAGAGAATCTCCCCGCCTGCTGTCGGATGTGTGCAGAGCCAGGACGACCCTGAGGCCAGCAGGCAGCTACCTGCAGGCGGAGGGGCCACCAGGGCCACCCAGGACTCCAGGCTACAACCTGGCTTGGGTTTCATCCCGTTTGTCAGCCCAGCACCCAGAATTCTTTCTGACATTTCTCTTTTGACACCTTTTTCATTTCCCATCCTACTGGGATGCCCTGAGATGACCTTGTTTCTGTCACAGTGAAGTCAGGGGAAACATGTCCACCCACCCTCTCACTTACCCACAGTTACACCCAGCCACCTATTTCTCTGTCACCCACCCCCTCACCTACCCACTGTTACACCCATCCACCTGTCCACCCACTCTCTCACCTACCCACCCTACCACCCCTCCATCTATTCCTTTGTTACCCACATTGGCACCTACCCACCCTCCATTGATCTACCCACCCATCTGCCCACCCACCTACCTTCCCTTGTACCCTCCCGCCCACTTTCCAGCCCTGGCACCTTGGGCAGGCTTTCTGAAAAGGATGATACTGGTCTTGCCACCACGGACAGGTGGGTGTGGTGAGAAGGCAGTGCAGGCTCTCGGCCTCTGCCTCTGCTCTGCAGCTGGGCAAGAAGCCTGCTGTGCCTCACCAGGGCAGCCTCCCAGGATAGCTGGCACCACAGGTGTGCTAAAGAGATTTGGTGTTAGACACAGTCCTCTCTCCCCTCTCCTCTCTCTATTTGCATCCTGAAGCTGCCAAGTGCCAGTTTGAGCCTGGTTGCAGTAGGTGGATGTCATACTGGGGGTGGGGGCAGGAACTTGGCCAGAAACTTTTCTTAGAAGGGACAGAGGTGGGTCAGACAGTCAGGGCCAGGGCCTGGCAGGGGCCTCTACCCTCTGATCTATATTGCGGGCTCAGGGAGTAGAGCCTGCAGATTCTGTATTTGTGAATTTGCCTGCTCAGTGCATTTTATCTGTGGCCCTGGTCAATACTTGAGACATTTCCACGTCATCCCAGGACAGGCACCGAGCTGCAAAAAGCTTGAGTTCTCCATGTGCAGATGCCCGCTGAGGTGGACGTGGCCACCCTCCTCCGGGTGGCAGCTCCCATCCTGTAGACCTCAGTCCTTGCCCATGAACTAAGTGCCCCAGGGCCTCTTTTGCTTGTTTGTTTTGCAGGGCTGGGATTGCCGGAGCCCGGAGGCTCTCCTGAAGCCACATTGCCGGCCCTTTTAAGTTCTGTTTTAGACAGGGCCTCGCTAAGTTGCCCAGGTTGGTCTGGAGCCTGCAGTGCTTCTGCCTTCGCTTTCCAGAGAGCTGGGCTGACAGGCATGCCCAGTGCCAGCCTGGGGATTTGGTTTTAAAGTGGCCTCGGCAGTGCTGAGGTGCTGCTAGCTTCCTGATCAAAACAAGGCCATGTCCAAGCTGTGACTCACAGAGAAAACAGGCTTGGTCAGCGAGAGGCCCAGCGCTGCTGCCCAGAGCCCAGGGCCACATTAAACAAGGTGCCCGAAACAGAAACCCACAGGTATTGATCGGTTCCGGAGAACGTCCTCTCCAAAGCTCCCCAGAACCCGGCCCAGCTTCCTCCAGAAGCAATGGCTCAGCACCTTTATGGTCTGTAGCCGCTGTGAATAACAAGGCAAAGGCCGGGACTGCAGTGTGCGCTCCGAGCCCCGCTGGGTTTGTGCCTTCTTACATACTGGGTACCACCACCCAGGCCCAGCGAACACTTCCAGGCCCAGGAAGTGCCATGATGCCCCTCCCCCTGGACTCCCCAGAGGTGGCTTCTGGTGGCCCCTGCACCTTTGGCCCCTGTTGCTGCTTCTGAGGATTGACGTCCTGTCCGTGCCTGGCTGCTTCTGCTCCACACAGAATCTGGGGGTCCCTGCGCTCCTTCTTTCTGTGACTGTGAAGTATGTCGTCCTGAACCTGTCTCAGCCCAGGTGGCTTTTGGATCGCTGGTGGTTCTGAGGCCCGTGCCATCCCTGAGCATGGCTCCTGGTGGGCGCTGGCCTCTGCTCTCGGGTGGGTGCCTGGCACGAATTGCAGACACAGGCATTCATTCCCCTTTGACCTGGTGCTTCCCAGCACCAGCACCGTCACCTACAGCTGTGCTCTGGGCCTGGCCCGGGCTGCGCGTGCACCCACTGGCCCCTCAGCTGCATTCACCCCTGCAGCCCACGGCCTCTGTGTCTGCAGGCTGCAGGCCACACCCTCTAAGGAAGTGTGGAGAGGTCTGGAGCTCTGTCCGGGCCTGAGCTGGAGGCAAGTGGTGCCCCGAAGGTAGTGGCTGGCCTGGGGAGCACTGGAACCACGCCGGAGATGCAGGCTGGGCTTGAGGCTGGTCTCCAGGGAGCTCGGCTCTCGCTGCTCCCAGCCAAGCTGTGCTCCTTGATTCTGCACGGAGCGCTCAGTTGATGGAGCCGAGCTGCTCACTTTGAGCTGTTTGATGCTGGGGCCACATCCTCTGTTGCTCGGAGAGGCTCTGCAGCTAAGGAAACGGGAAGCTGCTGGGGCTGCAGCCCACGTGTGGGGACAGGGAGGAACCGGGAGTGCAAAGTGGGGTCCCCAGGCCTCCTTCAAGGCTCTGGGTGGGGGCAGGGGCCCAAGCCCCTGTATTCCTACAGAGGAGAGGCCCTGTCCACTCACCCTGGTCTGGCCTGGAAGCTGCAGACTTGGCCGAGCAGGGCTGGGGAGGGCTGGGCAGGGAAATGGGCAGTTAGGCGCGGCCTCGAACCCTGCCTGTGTTCTCCCAGAGAAGCAGGGGCTGGGGATATAGCTCAGTGGCACAAGCGCCTGCCTGGCAAGTGCAAGGTCATGAGTTCGATCCCTGGTACTGCAAAAAAAAAAAAAAAAAAAAAAAAGAAGCAGTGGGGCCTGGGCTTCCTTGCTGGGGGCCTTGGCCCTGGACAGTGCTTTGTAGCTACAGCCAAGGCTGGACTGCAAGCCAGGGAGGAGGCGGCCATGATGACGACGAGGGTGGCTGGACGCTGCTGTCGGTTGGCCGTGAAGTGCCCCTGCAGGCCCGGCCTCTGAAGCCTCCACCCCGCCCTCAGTTTGGCCTCCTGATCCCAGCTCTCCACAATCTCCCTAAATGAACACCTGCCCCACACCATGGTGGCCCCTGGAGCTGCAGGCAGGGGACGGCTCCCTTGCCCTGTACCCTGAGCAGCTGGGGGGCCGTGGGTGGGTGGTGGGCACAGGGAATGTGGCCCCAGGCTGGAGACCCAGGAGGAGGTGTCACTTCTGGATCCCCGTGTGAGGTCAGAAAATGCCCCAGCTCCTGTGCCTCCTAGGGTGCTCGGTTCCTCTCCCATGCCACCCGAGATCACCGTGTCCTGGAGGACTCGCCACTCCTTGATTTTCCAACATTAATGCTCGGTTTATTAAAGCAGCACAAGGCTTGCCTGGCAAGCACAGGGTCCTGAATTCAATTCCTGGTATCAAAAAAAAAAACATAAAGCAGCACATTCAGGGCCACATCTAGACCTTAAACGTTTGGTTTATTTTACCAAGTGTGCTCTTTTACTATCTGACAGTCACTCTGGAGGGGCACTGTCCTCTACCTTCAAATAATTTGTGAATGAAGTAGATGAGATTTGCTCATCGACACCTTAAGCAGGGGATTTAATAGCTTGAGCCTTGAGCAGAGTGAGCCTCGAGTTCTCTTAGGACTGTGACAGCGTCTACAGAGGTGGCCGGGCCATTTTATTCCTCTTCACTGAAGATCACAGATCACCTGTGAGGCAGCGGCCTGCAGCAGCTGGAAGGGGCCCCCAAGGCAGCTTCCATCCTCTCTGCCTGGTCAGGTGGGCATCAGATGCCAGAGGAGCTGGTCCCCCTGCCTGGCCCCCCTGCACCTCAGCCAGGCATGCGGAACTTTCCTGCGATGATTCCAGGTTCAGCCAGAGGAATGAACCCCAGGGTTGCCTGACTTCCTGTCTGCCTTTGACGCTGTGCTTCCCTGGGAGGAAATCAGGGTCCCAGGAGAGGCTGCTCTCCCCCCGGGCTGAGCCCCACTACCCCAGGGGCTGGTTGCATAACTCACACATTTTGTAAAAGTCAAAAGATTTATATGATCTGAAGAGAAACCAGAGTATACACATTCTGATTAAGTTAAGAAACACCCTGTTCTTAAGCAATCTAGGGCTTTGCGGTAGATCATGGCTAGATAAGGTCTGGCCCCTCCCCCAGCTTGCTTCCCAACTTGATGGGGCCTGGCTGAGTTCTGGTCTGCGTTGTTTTTTGGCTTCTGAGACAGGGGCTCACTACATAGCTTAGGCTGGCCTTGAGCTCATGGGGATCCTCCTGCCTCAGCCTCTCGAGTGCTGGGATTACAGGTATGCACCACAACACTTGCTTGATCTGCTTTTTTTTCTTTACATGGATGCCATTCTCTCTGCCTCCTGGGGCCCTGCCTCCTCCTTGTCCCTCCCATCTCTGTCTCAGCTCTGCCCAGGTGACCTAGTGGCCAGGCCTGTGCTTGACCCTCAGCCAATCCGGGTCTTCTCTACCCTTGTGGCTGAGTCCTTCTGCACCTTGGCTTCCCTGGGGCTCTGTGAGCGGGTGAGGGAGGCCTCCCTCCTCTGTGCAGGGCCAATCTTGGGCGCAGCCCCCATGCCACTCCAGGGCCCTGCAGCACCCAGCTGGAATCGCCTTTAATCTGTCACCGACCTGTTCCTGGCCATGTTTGCAAAGTGTGCTGGAAGGCGAGAGCTCGTGGTGGGGGTCGTTGGGGTCCCGGGAGGGAGTGTGGCCTGCCCAGTGCTCTAGTCTGTAACTGGCTGCAGGCGTCGCCATGCTGCAGGCGGCCGGGGACCTGACTCATGAGTGGTGCTGGGTACCCTTTGTAGTGAGTCCTTTGGACTCCAGTTCCAGTCCCCAGCCCAGCAGTGGACACGGCCGGGTAGTATCTAGGGATGAGTCAGCGGGGAGCTGGGCTGCCTTGGCCGCCGGAGTGTCTGCTGGAGGTGTGTGGGGGCTTGTGGGCTTCCAGGGGCTCAGGGAGCTGAGAACAAGATCCTGAGCTGTGGACCCCGCCTCACTCTTGATTTCCTTTCGCAGTCTGGTGTTGGGCGGCCCCACTGACTCCTGATAGTGGGTTTGAGCTTGAGAGCGTGTGTGCACGCGCGTATGTGTGCGTGAGTACGTGCTTGTGTGAATGCTCCCAGAAGGCTCCAGGGCCCCAGCACCTGAGCTATGAAGTGGCAGCATTGGCTCCAACCAGCGTCCCCACTGCCTGGCACATGCAGGGCTGGGCCTCGGGCTCCTTGTGCTGGCACAGGGATGGCAGCCGCCTCCTCCCAGAGCTGCTGACTCAGGGGCTGAGTCATCGCCCACCTCCCTGGGGGCTGGGGGTTGGATGTGCAGGGCCCGGAGTTGCGGCCTGGGGTGCAGGGAAGGCGTGCAGGGCTCAGAAGGTGAGGTCTGATCAGCTGTGGTGCTGACGGCCCGTGGCTCTTGGCGCCTGCCCAGAGCTGGTCGAGATCCTTCACTGCCAGAATGGCCCTGGGGACAGTGCCACCCAGTGACCCAGGTGCTGTCCTTGCTGCTGACAAGCTGAGGGCCAGAGACAAGCTTGCCCTCCACTTGGGCATCCTGATGGTGAGGCATGTGAAGCCCTCCAGCAGTGCTCAGCTTCTGGCAGTAAGAAATGCACCAAGGTGTGACCTGGAGGCCAGGCCAAGTGGCAGTGGCCAGGCTGGAGTCCGGGGCTGGGTGTAGGGCCACTTCCAGTGGGGGTCAGGGTTCAGTGGGGACGGAGGCAGGTTTCATCCCAAGAATGGAGGAGTTGTGAGGGACCCTGGCTGGCAATGTGGAGGTGCTGTCAGAGGCTAGGAGTGACAGGGAGTGGCTGGGGATGCATGCCAGAGAGGAGCCAGCTGTGCCCTCTGCAAAGGGCAGCATGGCTCAGGCCAGCCAAGACCCTCCAGGGGGACCCACGGGCTCCCCTTCAGGCCCGGGACCTAGGATTGTGCTTGGGGTCAGGTGGATGTGGCCTGGCTTTGGAGCTGTCTCTCACCCTGTGTGCGTGGGACAGCTGCCTATGGCCTGGAACATCCAGTGCACTGGACAGCGAGGGCAGAGTGGGCCCTGCCCAGGGGCACTTGGCATGCGACGTGGCTGGGTGGGTGCCCTGAGGCATCTGGTGGACCTGGCTCCTTCTGGCCTCTGCAGTGATGCGATTGCTCTTTACGGACAGGAAAGCCGGGGCCAGGAGACCAAGGCTCACTCAGGGCTGGGGCTGGAGCCGTCTCTGTGTCTCCTTGGCCTGGGCTTTGTGGCAAGGGCTCCACCCTGGAGTGGCCCGGCCCCCTGCTGACCCCCAGACTCCCCAGTCTCTGGGCAGGGGCACCCCACCATCTTCAACCACAGACGCAGCAGCTGAGGTTGACATGGCATCAGCTAGCTGTCAGGGGACCTGGAAGGGGCAGGGAGCTTGGCAGCAGCGTTAGCTGTGGGACCGGGGTGGACACCAGGCCTTGGGCCTGGTGGTGGGGGCCCCTTGGGGGCACAAAACCTTTGAGTGTTGCTGTCTGGAGCCTTCCCAGGCCCACCAGGCCTGGCGCAAATGGGCTTTTCTGCATGCAGAGGAGCCTAGGCAGGGTTCAGGGTCCTGGTCACCCCAGCCCTGCACTCAGCCTGTGGTTCTGGGCTGGAGCCTGACCTTGAGCTGCTCTGGCAGCTGTCTCCAGGGTGGGGAGCAGGATGGGACAAGGGGCAGGAGGTAGGGCAGCAGTGTGTGGTCCGGACAGGCTAAGGGGCAGGCCAAGGGGCAGGGTGTGTGTATCCTTGTCCTGGGGGTGCCTGGGAGCAGAGCTGGAGGAGGAGGAGCGGCTGCTGTCAAGGAGGCGCACCTCTGGGCTGTCAAGGGGCCTGGTTGGGGGAATGGGGTGCTGTTCCGGGCTCAGGGACATCTCTGGGTGTTCCTGCAGTCGTCCACTCCGGCAGCCTCAGCCGCTGGAGACAGCTGTTGTCTTGCCTTCCTCCTCCGGGGCTCCTTCCCCAGCTCCCATCCACGTCACCCACTCTCTCCCAACCAGGGCCCCACCCTGAGCTCCACTGCCACATCTGTGTCACCGGCTCTGCCTGACCACACTGTCCCCTCTGCTGCCGCGCACAGGGGAGGAAACTAGGTCTGCAGCCTCAGACTGTGCTCTTCCCCAGGCCTGGCCCAGGGCAGCAACTCTAAGCTGCGCAGTCCCCAGATGGAGCTGCTGGGGCGGGGGAGCCCCCGGCCTGGTGGGGGAGGCGGCCTTGCTGGGAGGCAGCTGCGGAACTGAGTCACGCGCCTCCGGAAAGCGGATAGCGCAGGAAGTGGAGTTTCCATGGCCAGCTGCCTCCTTGGGAAGAGTGGGAGGGGAGGAGGAAGGGGCACCAGGCACGGCGGGGCGG